AAAGATAATGAGACCTCATCAATAATTACTTATTTATGTTGTATATTATATTATTAATCAGCTACTAACTCTCTATGAACTAAAATTAACTAAATCGTATTGAGTATATTGAATTCGACTACTTATAATTTTCGTGGGGGGGGGGGGTGTAATATACGACTGGAGACGTACTGACCGATAATTAATAAATGCTGGATTTGGTGATTATTAATTTCTAATACATTTCAGTAATGTCAACATTTTAGGCCATGGATTGGTAAAATATTATCTAATAATTTACCATGTTAAAAGATTAATCCAGATAATATTTTCAACTATTTTGGGATAAGCATTTAAATTGCTGAAATAATAGCTTCTAATTAGGTCTCGCACAAACTAACTTTCTAAACCTTAAGTCGTTGGTTTTAGGTAAACAAAAATATTTCACCATAAGTGCGAAGTGTATAATGTTTCATGTATCTATATTGTAACGACCCGTTAACGATGTGAGAACTGTGTTTTTCTAATGTCATATTATTAGGTAGCGATATGTGATACTATACATTTACACTTTCACTTCGATGTAAGGTATCGGGAAATCATAAAAAAATTTTAACGACATTTATGTTTAAGAGTCGCTAACTATTACAAACTATGATTATCGAATGTATTATTAAATAACTAGCTAGGTTGTTTTAAGTAAATTTTTAACTAAATCGTATCGAGTATATTGAATTCGACTACTTATAATTTTCAGGGGGGGGCATGTAGTGGATAGGAATGGAAGGGGGGGGGGCATGGCCGGGCACGGCATATAGGGGAGGGGAAAGGCCGGGCACGACATGGAGGGGCATGGCCGCGATAGGCATGGCACGCGCACGATAGGGAGGGCGGGGTACCTGGATCTCCTGGATTTGCGGGGGATACAGAACCGACTAAAACATACTACTTCGGAAGTCACCACCTCCTCAGTCACCACTCTTGACGGTTAACCATATATAAGGGAGACCAGGGCAAGAGCTCAGCAGACGGTTAGGGCTATTCGAGACGCTCAGAGGCAGGTCGTAACACCACTCACGGTCTCGTATGTCGTCTGTCAGTATTTCAGAGCAGGTTGTAACACCACTCACGCATCTTGTGCTTATAAAATTGTATTCTTGTCGAGTTTGTAAATAAGACTTGACTTTAACTTGCAAACATTGTATTCTTTCATGCGTTGATATATGTATCGACGTTGACGCAACGGACGCAACAATTTGTACAGTGCACTGCATAAACACAAACTAGTGTGATTAATGCCAAATACTGACGTCGAACCGTGCTACCTAACATCTGCATCTATCCCTAGTCTCTGGCAATCTCAGAAATGACAATTCGATGATCAAAGAACTCTCTAAATTAAATGTATTATTCATTGGTGCCTTTCCTGCTATTTCATCGGTTCTAAGAATTACAAGACGTGTAATCAAGTCTTGATTGTCATATTAAATAGTACAATGTTAACACTATCGTTTACTCATCATTTCTGAGAAGTCAGGACGTGTGATCATCTTATTCATTATATAAATATCACGATTGCAGGTGATCGCCATAGCCGTTCATACTACACTGTTTGAATATGTTATTCTATCGGTATACACATCACCTCTCCGTATAATATATATGTGTAAAAATAACACGGTACGTAACAATATTATTATATATTATATATGTTGTGGATCTAATAGCTCCTTTTGATATTCTTTTATATTGTTGGACCACAAGGGCCGTAATTATTACTACTATATTTTGTTTTCATATATTATTATATCATATATTTTTCACCTACTGCATTTATTGAGTTACCTTTGTTATTATATTAACCTATTTGTCCACTAGTTTTAAGTCTTACCACACCACCACACACTATAGTCGCGCAACGAAACGGCGGTGACTGGAGCGACTCAGCGCATTTTCAATCAGTGTTATAAAACTATGTGCTAATTGCCGTTTTTAAACACTTGCCGTACTCTGTTATTGTAAACATCACAGTTTTGACGCAGTTTGAGAACTCGTGGTTAACAGACGTTCAAGGCGAGCGGGTTTCGGGGTCACCTGCCAGTTTTCGTTGCGCGGACTATAGCACTCTCAGGATTTGCTCGGCGAACCTGTACACTTCCTGTTGAGTGCTATACACATCACATACACAGGTCGGTCGGTGTGTGACCGTATAAATAGCGTACACCAATATTTGGTGACCAGGCGCTATTTTATATGCCTTGGCCTAACATAATGTATAGTAATTCTGAAAATTAATAATTAACAAGAATAAATATAATATAAATAAATTACAATAGATGAATAGTAAACATGATTGCAGTAAAGAATACCCGTGGTGTATGTTGTAAGAAAGTCACCCTGTTGAATAAACCTTGCTATTGAGTAGGTATTGATAAATTTATTATTTGAATTTAATGATAAATCATTGTAAGCGAAAAACGTTTCTGATCAGTAAAACTTCTTAAATTGATCAGTAATATTTTATTATACACAAGTTGCTATATTTAAATTTATTTTAGTAATTAATATTTTGATTAGTAGTGTGGTAAGTTGAAAAGATTGTTGCCAAAACTAATCACATATACTATTTTAGAATTTACTGATTTGGACTATCAGGAGTGAATAATCCCACAGAGCCTTTTTTGTAGAGCACTGTCTAAGTTTTTGTCGGGGACCTCTCAGGTTTTCACATTTTTGTTTTGTATAATAAAATGTTTACTCAATAAATAAAGTCTATTGACAAAAAATTGTTGATAGGAATTTATTTTCAAAAGATAATTATTAAAATAATTATAGTAAAATTGTAAATGATTAATTAAAGTTGATTGATATGAATAGATTTTATTATAACATTTTATTCCTAAAAAAAAGTTTATTATATTGAATATGTAACGTTTGTACAATTTGTTTTTAATTTTGTGTCCTCTTAAAATATTTTTCTATGACAAAAATACTACCTATCCACCCCTGTGCACGGTGTAGTGTTAACCGTGATAAATTAAATATTTCTGGATTTTCCTCTTCTTAAATTCAGTTTTACGTTAGCTGCATAGAATTTTAATGCAGTTATTTAGGTTAATTTAATTTTGAGATGTTTAAACCTTTTTTCAACAAATTAGTTCAACCTACCATAATCGCACTTAAAGTACCGACTTAATGTAAAACAAAATATAAATTATCCTTAAGAGGACGCTACACTGGTCATTTTCAGCGGTAAAAACATGTCTACGAAAAACAAACGAAATGGCATCAAAAAATGGTTTTAAAGTAAAAATCCTCATAAATAAATTATTAGAGAACAATATTTAGGAAGGAACCTCATCGGTGTTTTTTAAAATATCAATTAGTAAAAAAGTTACAGTTATTTAAAAAATGTAAAAAAAAAGGTTTTTGTGCCTTTCATAACGAGCTGTGTATTTATATTAATACAAAATCCCAATGAGGTTCCCTCCGAAATATTGTTCTCTATAAAATTTATTATAGGTATATTTACTCTAAAACAACTTTTTAATGGCTTTTCGTTTGTTTTTCGACAGCATGTTTACGTCGTTAGATTTGATTTTTCATTGCCATCGTGTGCTGCCACCTACTTATTGCCGTTGTGACGGCGGCCGCTAATTCCTCCACTACGAAAAATAGTTAATGATTGTCTCGTGCGGTCGGTCGTGGATCCGTTATCGGGGGCGGAACTCCTTTCGCCCAAAATTGACCTTCCTCTTTTTGCCCACGTCCTCTTTTCGACCAAAAATGAAAAAACAGTTTCCTCTTTTCGCCTAAAAATAATTGTATTCTTTTTGCCCACGGTTTCACGTTTTAAATTTTGGAAACCACTGTCTCAAAATTAATAATTTTAAAAAAATCATATAATAATCAAATAAAAAAATAGAAAAATATATAATTATTAATAATAATTAACAATAATTTAAGAAGTGTATAAGTATTTAAAATAGTGTCATCGATGTAAAATAACTTATAAGTAATTTGATCAGGTTATAACTTAAATAAATAGTTTGTTTTGTTGTTGTAAAATAATACAAATATTCATATTAATTATGACTTATAAGTAATTATAACATTTATTAAAGTGTTTTAATATTTATTATATTTCGATAGAGAAGTCGGCACCTTTATACACTTTCTCGACTGACTATATTAATAACAATCAAAAACCCTTCGGTGCACTAGACCGGCCAGGCCGATAACAATATCTAGATTACAAATATATTTGATATAACATAATATATTTATATATATATAATATAATTTAACAAATTGGATATCGATATGTAACAATCATAACAGCTTTAATTTTAGTATGTCGTTCACTTTTGTGCCGAATAGTGTGATTGTGATTTTTCTCGTGATTATAGTAACTAAATTTTATAAAAATGGAATTTTCAGAAAGTAAAAGAGGTGCTCGTATGGTTCTTTATAATAATTTTAAGTACAATTTTGGATCGACTAATAAAAAAGACAACTCTACCCGTTGGAGATGTGTAACAAGAACGTGTGATGCAAAGTTATATACAGATAAAAATGATGCTTTTATTTCAGCAGTCGGAGAACACAATCATAATGAATATGATAAATCGAATATTAATCGCCAAATAATAAACACAGCATGTAAACGAAAATCTTTAGAAGATCTCCACACAAGACCGAAAAAATTAATATTAAAAGAATTTGCTCAAAACGACGCATCATCATATTTAAACGTAGTTGATATAAAAAGGTTAAGGAACAATATGTATAAATCTCGTGCAAAAGTCCTCCCTCCTAACCCTACTGATATAAATGAAGTTCATCAGTATATTAACGCAACTGAAATAAACACTACGAGAGGTGAACATTTTGTATTGAATAACGATGAAAATAAAAATGTTATAATATTTTCCTGTGAAAAAAATTTACATTTCTTGAGCAATGTTGAAAACGTATACGTCGATGGCACGTTTAAATATTCTGCAAGATTTTTTGAACAAATGTTCACTATTCATGGATATAAAAATGGCCATTATGTACCATTAGTTTTTTGCCTAATAGTTGATAAATCGGAACATACATATGCATTTGTGTTTAAAAAAATCACCGAAAAATGTTATAGTCTTGGATTACGTTTATCACCGTTAAAATGTGTGGTTGATTTTGAATATGCGATACATAAAGCAATAAAAATTGTTTGGCCAAATACGGAAATAATTGGATGTAGGTTTCATTTAACCCAATCATGGTGGAGAAATGTGCAACAATTTGGTTTGGCTACACACTATAAAGACCAGTCTTCAGATGTCGGTAAGTGGATACACTACACGTTTGGTTTACTATTTTTAAATCCTGAAGAAGTAGGTGATTGTTTTGTAGAAGATTTAATGAGTGACTGCCCTGAAAATGAAAAATTACAAAAGTTCTGTGATTATTTAACTGATAACTATATATCCGACGAAAGTATGTTCCCACCAAAGCTTTGGGCAGCTGAATCATCAGTTAATCAGAACAACAAATGTATGCGAGTCCTTTCACTCATTTTTTAACAAAAGTTTTTATAGTAATTCTCCACCAATTCATATGTGGTTGGCTGTGGTACAAGAAATCCAAACTGATGTTTATATTAAATTAAATAGTATCCACTTACAACACTTTCCTAAAGATAGACAAGTAAGAGAACGCCAATTAAAAAACGAAGAAACAATAGAAAAGTACAATAGAGGAGAGTTAAGTCGATATGAGTTCATTAAATCAATGGCATTCAATTATACAAAAAATGTAAATACAAATTAAATCCACAAATAACTTTTTTTAACGACGTCATAAAAAAAAAATGACAATACCTAAAATATTATCTTATATTAACGAACTAGTGATCACTATTTATTATTATATCATTTATTTTATTATTGTGTAAATAAAGATATAAGTATCTAAATATAATATATATCAATAAAAAATCTGTACATAAATTATGTAAATATGTCGTACGTATTACCTACATAAGTAATGTTAATTATTACCTATTAATAATTATATATTTTTCTATTTCATCTATTTTATTATTATATAATTTTTTTTTAAATTATTGATAATTATTATTAATAATTATATATTTTTCTATTTTTTATTTGATTATTATATGATTTTTCTTAAATTATTGTTAATTATTATTAATAATTATATATTTTTCTATTTTTTTATTTGATTATTATATGATTTTTTTAAAATTATTAATTTTGAGACAGTGGTTTCCAAAATTTAAAACGTGAAACCGTGGGCAAAAAAAATACAATTATTTTTAGGCGAAAAGAGGAAACTGTTTTTTCATTTTTGGTCGAAAAGAGGACGTGGGCAAAAAGAGGAAGGTCATTTTTGGGCGAAAGGAGCACCGCCGTTATCGGCGACGACAGACGCTTCTGAGAAATGAGAATGATTATGCGCCGATTATGAACGCCACCAAGTGTTGTTCATGGATTACTGACATTATAAATATTATTAATAAATAAGTATTATAATTATTGTGCAATCGACAATCATAGACGACATTCCATCACTGACCGACTGAATACTTCTATAACATACGCCATTCAAATTAGTGAGCAACTGCCTATTATTGACTATTATAATTAGGCGCGGATTCTATACAGTACATATTTTTCCTTTAATATTTTTGGATTTTGATGATTATCTCCACAGATCATCATAATTTGAAACTAATGGGTAAATCTTTTTGCATATTTCTGCATATTTAAAGGTTATTACTGCATATTTTGCATATTTGTAAATTAAAATTTAGTACATATTAGGCAATTTAAAAATTTAAAAGTGTATAAGATAATATTTTGACAAGTAGAATGATTTAACATTATATCTACTCATTTGGCATTTTAGTGATAATCATAAAAACTGAAAACTCGAAATAACGCTTTACATCTAAGCTTTCAATAATTGACGAAACAGAAAAATGTTCTATTTCTGGATCGAAAGGTGTAACACAACAAAATTAACAGGCTTTCAATAAAATGAAGGTCTGAAGATTCTGAAAATTAATTCAGTGTTGATAGGCGAAAACGTTCAGCTCAAGAACTTTATCAAGATCCGATAATAATACTAAGTTGCTTCAAATATGCTAATAACTTCGGTTGACGTCGAACGTTCGTTCTCAGTCTAAAAATATGTAAACCGATAAACAATACAGCTTCACAAGAAGAAAAACTTGAAATACATATATGATTATTCATTTAATAATAAATACAATTTTAAAAATAAATTAAGTTTAGAAAATTCCTAAATTTTTATTATTAAATATTAAGTAATTAATTATTATAAGTTTTATTGTAAATTTTAAATAAATAAAAATTCTTGCATATTTTCATAATTTTGACTGCATATTTTCATGATTTTTACTGCATATTATATGGCATATTCGATACTTTTAAGTGCATAAAATCCGCGCTTTAATTATAATATAAGTAATATAACTATATAAAATATAAGTATGACTATCCCCCTTACAAAATGAGTTATAAATATACACACCATTATAGTGTTTGAATTTCGGACAGCGGAAGTAACAATGTAAAACACCTACTATGGATTTATATTCCTGAAATCTATATCAAAATTTAAAATAAGTATTGAGTATAATAATTACTAATTATAACTACCTTTACTACTATTGTAATACTCAAATAGCAATACGTAACTA